ACTTGAGTAATCGTTATTAAGTTCACCATTTTTACAGTTATCGTTAGCGTGTTATTTGTAGTGGAGCTTTTTTGTAACTAATTCGTTGTACATTTGGAAAAAAGCTATCATAGTTGAAGGAAATTTATTGGAAACCACTCAGAGTCTTTCAATTAAAAGTTCAATAGGTTGACATTGTTACACTGTTGGCGGTCACTTTCAGTTGCAGTTCATATGAAAAGGATGCCATTTAATTACTGGCCTCATTGACTGTTCTATTTTGCTATAAAGTTTTTTCTTGGTGTATTTAAGCTTTCATACCATTTGTTATGTTTGAGGTTTGGCAACAGTTATGCAATGTTTTGTTGATTTTTCGCAAAACAATACTCTTTCTTTGTTTAACATGTTGTAACCAGTTGGGTTATACTAATATTTGAATACGATAATGTTGTTATCATCATGTTTACATAAGAATTTTCTAATCATTCTTTTCCCGTCTAGTTATAAAGCACAACAATTTTTACCATCATAACATCGTATTATGCTGTACTCAATGTAAACAGTAGGAATTTGTTTGTTTACATTGAGTTGTGAGGAATTACAACTTTTTTTCGCACTTTTTTTGCTCAGTTTGCTTTTACGCAAGCGTGTCCTGCCCAAAACGGTAGTTACTTTTTCAATAATTTCACTATGCAGCCTCAGAACCCTCATTTACACATTAGTCGGTTAGAAAAATATCTCTTGAAAACAAAACTAAAGAAGAACTTAGAGAGAAGGACGGGGATAAGGTCAAATAAGCATGGATGAGAAAAAGATTATTTTAATGTAGACATCTAGTGATGAATGTTTCATAAATATTAGAAATTTCAGGGTAATTCCTTCTGCAGAACAGCTTTTCCAAGGCACTGTTTTGAAAAATTCACCGGAGGACAGCGACTCGACAAAGTTGATTAAAATTGAATACAAGGATTTACCCCCCAGTGTCAAAGGACTTTATTTTGCAGCAAATTGGGTAATTTTTGTAAGACTACTAGAGCAGGCTGAGAATCAAAAGAGAAAAAAAAATTGTTTTTCATTCTTTTTTTTGGAGTTTAGTGGAGTCATTTTCCTGTTTCCGTATTTGTTTGCTTGTATAGTAAATATTTTTTTTTTTTGAAAATTTGTTTGAGTATTCAACATTGCAGTGTCCTCCATGTCGCGCTTTCACCAAACAGTTAAGCGCTACATATAAAAGTCTAAGAGATTCAGGAGTATCTTTTGAAATATTCTTCTGCTCATCGGATAGGTAGACTTTGTTCAAATTTTTTTTGCTCTTCTTATTGGGAAACTGATAGTGCATTTTATTTTGATCATACACAGACTTTTTACAGGTCAGAAGAGTCATTTGAGCACCACTTTTCGACTATGCCTTGGCTAGCCTTTCCTTTTGACCATGAAAAGTTAAATCTTCTGACGCGGATGTATGGTGTTAACGGTATAAAAACAGTCTCTTTGTTGATTGTATATACTTGTGTGTATCGCTCTTTTTTAATGCTTGTCAATTAGCTGGAAGATGTCTTTGAGTGTTTTATGCCAACTGAAGTGAGGTTGTGAGCCGACAATGGCGTAAAATAACTGATTTTTAGGTATTCCTGCATTCTTGATATTGGATGAGAAGAACAGTGTAATAACATGGCATGGAAGAAACGCTGTTTTAGGCGATCCTCAAGGAAAGTTTTTTCCATGGGGACCTCAATTAATGTTTGAACTAAATGAGTTCACTTTGTGCCGCTTGAGAGATCTTCCTACGCTGATTTTATTTACAGGTAATTTCTACCAGTATAAGACGGCAGTCTTAATTTGGTTTAGTTCAGTAATATTGAAAATACCAGTTTGTTTATAAATTCAATATCGTTTCTGATAGAACAGTAATTTTTTTCTAGAAGGAACACCAGAAGATGTTTTATTTTCTATCGAAGTTTTGCGTTCAAGCGCTGAAATGTTGTTTGCGGAAAGAAACGAAGCATTAAGACGTTCGCCGTCAAAAGAAAGTACAAGTCAGGAAGAAGATGGGAATGAAGGCAGTAACAGTACGTCACCAGATTTGACCCAGTCGACAAATTCTGTGGACAGGTTTTCTTTTTTTTCTTTCTTAATTAACAACTGTTTTAAGCAGTACCATTATATTGTGAACTCTGAGGTTTGATTTGGATTTTTGCTGAACCATTCCTTGGCTTGCTTCTTTGCTTACCTATCTGTAAAGTAAAGCATACGAGTTTTCTCATCAAAATATTTTGTTATAGTATTGAGTTGTTTTGCCGTTTTGAACGATATGTTAAATTTATTTTTCATTTGTTCTTAATGGGTCACAAACTGGTATCAAGTGCAATGATGTTTAGTTATGAGAGTTTCAGCTTTTGCGGGGTTTACATGAATTGTACCATTTTGCTCTCATCAATGAGGCTAAATGAGTTTTTACCAAACTTGGCAGCCATATGGGTTTATACTTTTATAATTCCTTTTGTTGCGGTTTATACTTTGGGGAGGCTAGAGAAATGGTGTAAAATACGGTTTTGTACTTTATGTGCTTGCACTGAACTTAATTCTAATAAATTCCTATTTTATAGTTCAATCACTAGGTCTCTCAAAGTTTATTTTTTGAGTTAAAGTGATTTTTTTGGCGCCATTTTAGTGTTTCATCTGCTGAAGTTCCTGCACCGTCTTGGGCCGACCCATTACAAGTATTTTACACAGCCGAAGATCCCATCTGTGACTTTGTTCTTGAAGTTTTAAAACTCGGGGAAGCGGAATTGCCAATGGCAGTTATCGTTGATGTTATTGGGGGTTTGATGACTGTTTGTCAAAAACCAGATGTTAGCTCAGAGATTATAGAAGAATTTGTGACTGATTATAAGAATGGCCGCTTGGAAATGACACCTCTTCCAGCAAGCTGCCAGGTTCAATTAATTATTTTTTTTTTCAACGTTTCGGAAAACGATTTTTTTTTAAAACTTCTTTCGAATTTTTTCAAGAACTGTGTGTGGTAAATGATAAAGTGCTTTTATTAGTGCCATTTGAGCTTTATAATTCAAATTATTCAGAGATTACAGGTTAAATCTTCACTCTTATTAAATTACATGATCTTACTTTTCTTTCATTGTCACATTATTTTTTTTAGAACTCTGGAATGCAAATAGGAGGTATTCCAATCAAAGTGGTTCATCAAGTTCTTGGCATCGGGAATTCGCCTTCACAGGGTTCAATCAGTGGCGATAAAGCGGTTTCTCCGACTGCTCAGAATGGTGGTTCGTCGATGGTTTTGTAACAAAAAGCCTTATGTAAAATAATAGTTGTTATTTAGTCTCTAATCAGTGTTGTGCCTCAGAATGACTACTTGGAAAGCATATTCTTTACTCCCAGTATTTGTATATTAAGATATTGATCAGTCGCTCAAGTTCCAATGAGCATTTCTCTCAAGATTGCGTAGAAGGTTCTACGAAATTCTAAAAAAGAACAGATTTTCAGACTTCGCTACCTTGCTTTTTTGGTAGTTTTTTTGACTTATTAACCTATTGCTCTATATAGATCAAGTACGTATGTTGGAAAATTTTATAATTTGTTTTTAGTTTCTTGATACCGGTATGTATTGGATTGATGTTATTTTTATTTTTCCATTATCTGTTATATTTAGGTATGCTATAGTATTGGGTTTTTTTGTTGTGGTTTGGCTGTGCAGTTAAGTTTCTTTGTGTATTCTTACGATCAAAGTGGTACGAAATAATTTTCACTTTTTTTTGGGAGCTGTCTCACTGCTGTTTTTTTTTGCTGCAGCAACAGTAATCAGAAGTTTTTGTCTGGTGCTGCATTTCTTTGTTGCATAATATTTTTTTGAAATTGTTTCGATATGAGAACTGTTTCGGTTGATTCAATTTGATTTCAATAGATAGTACTGTTAAGACATGCTGAATTGCTGTTTAGGTGGGGGGTTTCAATGATGTACGTATGGCAGGTTTAAAAGCTCCTTTCTTGTTCTTTGTTTACTATTTATTTATATGGAAAAGTTACGGTTTTTTGTGTTGTTGACTTTGCTTTGTTTAACTACCAATTAAGGATGTGGTTGGAAGTTGAGTTTTAGTGTCAGCGCTTTGTTATTTTGGAATCAGTCTGCAACATATGTGGTCTGAGCTGTCTCAGAGTTTGCCTGGTAAAGATGTAAAGGGCATAAATTTGATAAGTAGTTTTTTTTCATATTGCAGATTGAAATTAGTGGCCAAGAGAAAGGGAGTGAGAAACCTGTTTGTATTCATTATTTTCAGTCTTATTTCAACTGAGAAAGAAACGGGGACAAATTGTAGCAGCTTTTTTTCGTTTGTATATGTTTATTTGTATTCATTCAAGGTTTCTTATTTTTTCTTTTGAATGAAAGTTGAGAATTTTTGAGGCTTTTATTGTAACGATATCTTTAGATTTCAAATAACGTGTCAGCCTTTTGCAGTAAGGAGCAAGAGGGTCTGTTTGTAATAGCGGTTGCATCCCACGCTATAAAATTTGGTTCTGTGAAGTTTTTTGTCTATTGTTTCTTTTATTTATAGTTTGCTGCGAGAGCATTTGTAATCGTTTGATTGCAAAGTCAGTTAAAGTTTGAGGATTGAAATACAGTTTGAAGAAAAGGAAGACGAAGGATGGGGATAAGGAGGTGGAGAAGCTTGAGCACAGTTTTTAAGCAAGTGTGGGGGTTGAATTGGTGTGGAATACCGGTTGATCTAGTAACTGATGATTCTTTGGCTACAGGCTATTGTAACGCGAGTATCTGCCGGCGGGGCTACACGTCTCGTTCGTCGTAGGTTAATTCGTTCAATGATATTGACATTGGGAATTCCAGAAGGTTTCTGTGACAAAGTTGATTTTGTTTGTCGGCTAATCGTCTTCTCCAAGTCATTTGGTTGGCTAGTTGACTGGCCAGTAATAGTTGTTCAGTGTTATTGTTTTTGCAGTAGTCGTTGACAGTGTATCTTGACCAGGAAAAGTAGAACTAGTTTTGCTACTCTACGGGAAACAGTTATCTGACCGACATAGAGTATACGGCGAAACCGGTCATCATTTAAATTGCATCAGTAATACGAGGACGTTTTTTGACTGGTAGTCAATAACCGTATCTGTTGACGTTTTGTAGTTCTTGCATTTATTAGTTGCTTTTTTTTTTTTTT